TCGGAAACAATTCTCATGTCATTTGAGGCTCATTTTCATCAGCCAATGAAAACTGCGTCTATTACCACCACTGATGCTTGGAATTCAACGAAACCAATTTGGGAAGGTCTCTGAAGCTTCCCAAGTTGAGAAATCAAATGAAGTGGTTTTTCTTTCATAAAAGTTGATGGTATCAATATGTATACACAGTTTAGTAACGTTCGCAAGACCTCATCCATATTATCTTTCCAAATGACCTGGTCAGGGAAAAATGTGAGTTGCAGAGCAATAAGTAGGTATAGTCTCATTTTTGTTAAAACAAATCAAAACCAAAAAGATCCCCAGACTCAGCAGTGTTGGTCACGTTTGGGAGCTTGTTAGAAATGGAGACGCTCGGCTCTCACCCCAGACGCAGAGTCAGATCCTCCACATAACGAAATCCACAGGTGAGACTTCCGCACGGAAAAGTTTAACAGGCACTGCTGTAAGCTTCTCTATTTATGTAGCCACACATAAACACCTGTCTCTGTATTTTTCTTTATCCAGCCATCTCTGTCAGCATCTATCTGGATATACTAGAAACACGTACAAGAGTAGAAATGTAAATACATAGATGGGACTGGAATTACATGCATGAACTCAACAGTGGTCAACACTGAGAAGGAGAATGTGGTGGTGAAGGTTAGGGGGTTGAGAATTCAAGGGGAACTTTCACATTTTGCCATGCAGCCTTCTGGACTGTTTGTTTAAGCTACAGGGAGAACCTGTTAATGTCTTCTTTGGGGGACCTAAATGTAAATACTAAGGTAGTGTAAAACAGAAGGCATGAAAACCTAGTCCTGTAAATAACACGAACATCTCAAGTCTTTCCTCTCCGCCCATGGGCTAATAGCAAACTCTCTGACCCACCATTTCCACTTGGAGGAAATTCCCTGCAGAATTGCTCACACATGTGTGAAACGACGTCCCACTAAGATCAGCCAAGGGAGCTCTGTTTGTAATAGCAAAAGATCAAAGGCCACCTAACCGCCCATCCACTGGGAACGGTTAAATAGGTTAAGGTGCACTTACAGTGGAACAGTATGCAGCCGTAGAAAAGATTGATGAGTTAGCTGTGTATTGACATGGAACAGTGGCCAAGATCAATGGGTCACCCACGGGAGAGAGCGCCAAGCGATCTGTAAGGCACGTCAGTGCTGTGTGAGAAAGGAGGGAAAAGGAAGACGCATTTGCACGTATTTCACTTGCCGAGGCGCGCGCACACCTCCGAGTGTTGTCCTGCAGAAGGTCACCCAGAAGGGACTCACCCCGAGCAGGCAAGCAGCTGACTGCAGCCCGGTGATAAGGCGAGATGGCTCCTGTTCGCCCCACGCTGTGCTTTTTGAACCACTGCAGGCATTACCTCGTCAAAACTTCACCGAAACAAGAGCAAAACAAAACAAACCGACGCCTCTAGGGTTCGCTTTATTCCTCTGAGAATCCTTATTCCTGGGAACTCCATCTGGGGAACTCATTGTGAATCTAACAACCAGGGGCTTGGTTTCCCATGAAAAGAAGGCTGCTTTTCACGGGAGGAAAGGGACAGTCCCCATCCCGAGGGGACACGCACATCCTCGGATGCCCCTTTATGGCCGTTTCGTCCTTTGCTGCTCTCATTTCATGTGACTCAGCCTTTTTTCCTAAAGGTCCCACGAGTTTTCTTTAAAGAGAGTACCCCAAATAAAAACCTCTGTCATTTTCCTCCTAAACCATCTCATTTAAAAAACAAAACAAAACAATAAAGCTCTTATTCTAGGATTAAAGTGATGAATAGGACAGACCTGGTTTCCTCTTTCCTCCACCCTCACCCCCAAACCATGGAAACAAAACGAAATAAACCCCAAAGTGAACAGAAGCAACAGACAAGGAAAACCTGTCAAAACCAGGACATTTCGTGTCCTTTGCAGCTGCAGATCCAGCACCCAGGGGAAAATTCTATTGAAAAATACAGTTTTCCAAAAAGTGGCACGTGCTTGTTACAAAAACACCTCAATCATTTTCAGAGCAGAGAAGCCAAACATACCTCCTTGTTTCACTAGCATTTTCCTTATCTTTCTCATGCTTTCCTGAGAGCTGAATGATGCTTGAGAAAAAGAAGAAAACAAGACAGAAAATAATGCTTGGTTAGGTAAATATAATCAGCTAAGGAAAGCCTCCTAGAAGAGCATAATTCACTGAGTCCCAGTTTATAGAGGGAAACCCCCAAACAAAGGACTTTTGTGAAGGGATCAGCCTGAAGCCCACCATAACTTAGCATACAATGGGACAGCTTAATAAAAGAGCCTTCCCAGTTCCACCGTGGTTATCTAGGCGCACCCAAGGCGGGGTGGGGGTGGGGGGCTGTTGAGAGAGAGAGAGACAGAAAGAGAGAGGAATAAACATTTGGAATGTTCCCAACTATCTTCCTAATTAGCATTCATGAATGCATGAAAGGTTTCTTATCAGCCTGAGTTCCACACATTTTTCAAAATAAAAAGCTATGGCAATTTTCTTTTGGATCTGTTAATGGATCCAGAAAGGTCCAGGGCATTTGTAAATTCATGTAAATGCTTTTTCAATGAATGTTAGTGTTTCAGTGAATGTCTCGTTGTTTATGTGAAATGATCAGATATATACATATATATACCAACAAGGAATGTAATATAATGGTATTTATTGGTATGTATATCATACATGTAATTTTTGAAGTGTCCAAAAATTAAATGTGCAGTTATGGATTTTGTTAAGAAGAGAATATTTTGCTCTTCGGATTGAAAGACCCCTAAAAACTAAGTTTAGGTCATTGGCAGGCACTGGTTAGCATGATGAGACACTTTGTAGTCACTTATGAATTTTGTATTTTCTTTAGCTGGTGAAAAGCTCCTTGGGTCCCTCAACCTAGGGCCCCAGCAGCCTATACAAATCCCCCTGAAAACTTAGGCAAAGCAGCCCTTGGTTCTCTGTTGGACCTGACCCCACCTCCTGTCCAGTTGCATTTGCTGTTCATCTTAAGGCACATTTCTGATTTCTCCTTCAGTCCTTGTAGCCTCAGGAGGTGAGGGTGAGGCTCAGAGAGGGTGGGGGTTTGGGGCCAGGTGTGGTGATTAATCTGCAAGGATTTCTTAATCTTCCACTGTATGCAAATACTCCATGCGATAAAAAGAAATATAAAACAAAATCTCTTTAGGAGATTACAAATGAATACTATGTTAGCAGGCTGTATAAGAAGATTCTTAACCTAGGCATACAAGAAAAATGCAAATATAAATTACTCCGAGATATCTTTTTTTCCCATTCATAAGATTAGCAGATATGCTAATACTGTCTTTGCAAAACGTGGGGCCACAGGCTCTCAAACATGGCCTTGGTGGGGGAAGCTGGGAGTTATCATTGGTTCAGCCTCTTTGGTGGGTATTGGGAAACATTTGAGGAAATAAAAGCTATATATATCCTTTGACCTAGTAATTATTCTGCTGGAAATTTATCCTACAGACCCTCTACTGAACACATGACAAATGATGTATGTTCAAGGAAATACATGGCAACATTGTAGGTAAAAGCTAAATAATGGAACAACCAAAATGTCCATTAGAGGAAGCTGTCAAAATAAGTTATGGTCATCTATAATATGGCATTGTGTTTCTGCAGCTGGAGGCAGCTGTGTTTGGACTGATATGGAATATTCAATGTACGGTGGAGTGAAATGAAAAAATGAGCTGCCAAAACGGGTTTTGGATGCTACCAATTCAGTTGAGTGAAGAAAAAATATCAGGCTGAACCGAGTGGAAGTGCCAACATGAGACCATTTTTGACCTATAAACACAAATAAGATTCAATGCTAAATGCATTTTAAAATATATTTATATATATTATATGCTATCAATTTAAATACATATAAATTTATATATTTTATGTAAGTTTTAAAAGATATTTATGTTTTATGTATTTGGTTGTGCTGGGTCCTAGTTGTAGCATGTGGGATCTAGTTCCCCGACCAGGGATTAAACCCTGGCCCCCTGAATGGAGTCAGCCACTGGACCACCAGGGAAGTCACTATGCAAGCTTTTTCAACAAACTTTTAGCTTTGAGATATGCGTTGATTTGCATGCAGTTGCAGGACATAGTGCAGAAAAGCAAGGTACTATTTCAGGTACTCTGGGAACTGAGTACCCAGTTTCCAGAATAGTAACATTTTGCAGTGTTAGTTGCTCGGTCATATGGGACTCTTTGTGACCCCGTGGACTGTAGCCCTCCAGTCTCCTCTGTCCATGGAATTTTCCAGGCAAGAGTACTGGAGTGGCCTGCCATTCCCTTCTCCAGGGGATCTTCCCAACCCAGGGATTGAACCCAGGTCTCCTGCATTGCAGGCAGATTCTTCACTGTCTGAGCTACAGGGAAGATCCAGTAACATCTTACCACACTCTAATATCACAGCCAGGATGTTGACGCTGATACAGTTAAGACACAGAACATCTCCATCTGTTCAGACAAGGGGTCCTTATACTGTCCTTTTACAGCCACTCCCACCCGCTTTCCTTCTGCCCCGACCCCTTCCGTAACCCCGGGAAACTACTGATCTGTTCCATATTGCTATAGTTTTTTATTTTATTTTTATTTATTATTTTTTTTGCTATAGTTTTTTAAAAAACCTTTATGACTTATTTATTTGGCTGTGCCGGGTCTTATGTGCCGGGTAGCATGGGGCATCTTTAGCTGAAGCGTGTGTGATGTAGTTTCCTGACCAGGGATTAAACCCGGGCCCCCTGCATTGGGAGTATGGAGTTTTAGCCCCCGGACCACCAGGGAAGTCTCTATATTGCTATAGTTTTGTCACTTCAAGGATGCTAAGTAAATGGAAGTATGTAACCTTTCGAGATTGGCTTTCTCCATGCATAGAATTCTCTGGAGGTTCATCCAGGTTGTTGACTGTATCAAGAGCTTATTCCTTTTCAGTGCTGGACCCTACTCCTTGGAATGGAGCACTCCAGATTTTAACCGTTTACCTGTTGAGGAACATCTGTGTCGTTTCCAGTCTGGCCTATAGTGAATAAAGCAGCTATAAACATGTACAGATTTTTGTATGAACATAAATTTTCATTTCTTTGGATAAATGTGAGTAAAGCATTGCTGGGACATAGGTGTGTGTGTGTGCACACACACACGTGCACGCTCAGTTGTGTCTGACTCTGTGACCCATGGACTGTATCCAGCCGGGCTCCTCTGTCTATGGAATCTCCCAGGCAAGAACAGTGAAGCGGGTTGCCATTTCCTCCTCCAGGGGATTTTCAAGACCCAGGAATCGAACCCTCATCTCTTGCGTTTCCTACATCGGCAGGCAGATTCTTTACCACGAGCGCCACCTGGGAAGCCTGGGGGTGGTTGCATTTTCATTTTGTCTTCTTTTAATAAATATTTATTTATATAGTTGGGTATTTTTTGTCTGCACCAGGTCTTAGTTGTGGCATGTGGGATGTAATTTCCCGACCACAGACTGAACCCGTGCCCCCTGCATTGGGAGCACAGAGTTGAAGTCTTAACCACTGGCCAACTAGAAAGTCCCTCCATTTTATTAGCAGGCAACAGAGTTTGGGATTTCTTTCTTTTTTAAAAAAATTTATTTATTTTAATTGGAGGCAAATTACTTTACAATATTGTGGTTGTTTCTGCCATACACTGACATGAATCAGCCATGGGTGTACATGTGTTCCCCATCCTGAACCCCCCTCCCACCTCCCTCCCCATCCCATCGCTCAGCATCATCCCAGTGCCCCAGCCCTGAACACGCTGTCTCATGCATCAGACCTGGACTGGTGACCTATTTCACATATGATAATATACATGTTTCAATGCTATTCTCTCAAATCATCCCACCCTCGCCTTCTCCTACAGAGTCCAAAAGTCTGTTCTTTACATCTGTGTCTCTTTTGCTGTCTAGCATATAGGGTCATCTTTCTAAATTCCATATATATGGGTTAGTATACTGTATTGGTATTTTTCTTTCTGACTTACTTCACTCTGTATAATAGGCTCCAGTTTCATCCACCTCATTAGAACTGATTCAAATGTATTCTTTTTAATGGCTGAGTAATATTGCATTGTGTATATGTACCACAGCTTTCTTATCCATTCGTCTCCCGATGGACATCTAGGTTGCTTCCATGTCCTGGCTGTTATAAACAGTGCTGCGATGAACACTGGGGTACACGTGTCTCTTTCAGATCTGGTTTCCTCGGTGTGTATGCCCAGTAGCAGGATTGCTGGGTCATATGGCAGTTCTATTTCCAGTTTTTTAAGGAATCTCCACACGGTTCTCCATAGTGGCTGTACTAGTTTGCATTCCCACCAACAGTGTAAGAGGGTTTTCTCCGCATCCTCTCCAGCATTTATTGCTTGTAGACTTTGGATAGCAGCCATTCTGACCCATGTGAGATGGTACCTCATTGTGGTTTTGATTTGCATTTCTCTGATAATGAGTGATGTTGAGCATCTTTTCATGTGTTTGTTAGCCATCTGTTTGTCTTCTTTGGAGAACTGTCTGTCTAGTTCTTTGGCCAATTTTTTGATTGGGTCATTTATTTTTCTGGAATTGAGCTGCAGGAGCTGCTTATATACTTTTGAGATTAATTCTTTGTCAGTTGCTTCGTTTGCTATTATTTTCTCCCATTCATAAGGCTGTCTTTTCACCTTGCTTATGGTTTCCTTCATTGTGCAAAAGTTTTTAAGTTTAATTAGGTCCCATTTGTTTATTTTTACTTTTATTTCCATTACTCTTTGAGGTGGGTCATAAAGGATCCTGCTGTGATTTATGTCAGAGTGTTTTGCCTATGTTCTCCTCTAGGAGTTTTATAGTTTCTGGTCTTACATTTAGATCTTTAATCCATTTTGAGTTTATTTTTGTGTATGGTGTTAGAAAGTGTTCTAGTTTCATTCTTTTACAAGTGGTTGACCAGTTTTCCCAGCACCACTTGTTAAATAGATTGTCTTTTCTCCATTGTATATCCTTGCCTCCTTTGTCGAAGATAAGGTGTCCATAGGCACGTGGATTTATCTCTGGGCTTTCTATTCTGTTCCACTGATCTATATTTCTGTCTTTGTGCCAGTACCATACTGTCTTGATGACTGTGGCTTTGTAGTATAGTCTGAAGTCAGGCAGGTTGATTCCTCCAGTTCCATTCTTCTTTCTCAAGATTGCTTTGGTTATTCGAGGTTTTTTGTATTTCCATACAAATTGTGAAGTTATTTGCTCCAGTTCTCTGAAAAATACCGTTGGTAGCTTGATGGGGATTTTGAACCCTAGAGCACAGGAGGAGGTGCTCTTCAACCTTTTCAGCCTCAGGAGATGCTTCTGGAGATCACGCCTGAAGAGTATCCACAAGGTTTAGTGTTTGTGCTAAGACAACTGGCTATCAGTATCTGAACAAATGGACCTTTCCTTCACACCATACATAAAAATTAACTCAAAATGGAGCAGGGGCCTAAACACAGACGCTAAAACCCCGACAATTGTAACATGATGTGGGATTTGGTGATGGATTCTTACATATGAAACAAAAAGCATGAGTAACTAAAGAAAGTGTAGATAAACTGGACCTCATCGAAATGAAGGTCTCGGGCTCCAAAACCACTGCAGGTGGTGACTGCAGCCATGAAATTAAAAGACACTTGCTCCTTGGAAGAAAAGCCGTGACCAAACTAGACAGCATATTGAAAAGCAGAGACATCACTTTGCAAACAAAGGTCTGTATAGTCAGAGCTGTGGTTTTTCCAGTAGTCATGTGTGGATGTGAGAGCTGGACCATAAAGAAGGCTGAGCGCCGAAGAGCTGATGCTTTCAAACTGTGGTGTGGAGAAGACTGTTGAGAGTCCCTGGACTGCAAGGAGATCAAACGAGTCCATCCTAAAGGAGATCAGCCCTGAACATTCACTGGAAGGACTGATGCTGAAACTGAAATTCCAGTACTTTGGCCACCTGAGGCGAAGAGCTGACTCACTGGAAAAGACCCTGATGCTGGGAAAGATTGAGGGCAGGAGGAGAAGGGGACGACAGAGGATGAGGTGGTTGGATGGCATCACTGACTCAACAGACATGGATTTGAGCAAATTCTGGGAGACAGTGGAGGACAGAGGAGCCTGGTGTGCTGCAGTCTGTGCGTAGAGTTGCAGAGTCAGACACAACTTCTCGACCAAATAGCAACAACAAAGCTAAAAATATCTGTGCATCAAAGGACATCATCAAGAAAAAGACAGCTCACTGAATGGGAAAAAATAATTGCAAATCACGTCTCTGATGTAAAATATATATAAAAAACTCTTGCAATTCAACAGCAGAAAAAAAAACAGCCCAATCAAAATAGGGGCCAAGGACTTTTCCAGAGAAGTTAGGCAAATGGCCAGCTAGCACATGAACAAAGGCGCAGCATCATTAGTCAGTAGGGAAATGGAAATCAAAACCACAATGGGATACCACTTCATACCCAGAAGGAGAGCAGTCAGCAAAAAACACACAGGGACCTCCCTGGCGGTACGGTGGTTAAGACTTTGCCTTTCAGAGCCAGTGTGAGGGTTCGATCCCTGGTGGGGGGAGCTGAGGTCTCACATGCCTTGCAGCCAAAAAAACCAAACATAAGACAGAAGTAATATTATAACAAATACAATAAAGACTTTAAAAATGGTCCACAGCAAAAATATCTTTTAAAAAAACATAAGAAATGGAAAATAATAAGGGCTGACAAGGTTGTGGAAAAAACTGAAACCCTCACCCTGAAAATCAGTCTCTCTGAAAATCGGTTTGGTGGCTTCCTGAAAGGCTAAACACAGAATTACTGTATGATCCAGCAGTCTCTAAGTGCAATCCTCAAAAGAACTGAAAACAGGAGCTCAAACACACGGGCACCGCAGCACCACAGGCAAAAGCAGTAAATAACCCAGATGTTCATCGAGTAAGGAATGGACAAACAAGATGGGCTACAAATACGGTGGAATATTAGTCAGCCGTCAAAAAGGAATGGCATGCTGATACATGCTACCACGTGGATGAACCTCAAAACCATTATGGTAAGTGAAAGAAGTCAGATATAAAAGGCCCCATGTTACAGGATTCCCTGACGTGAAATATCCAGAATGGGTAAATCCATGAGGATTGGCAGCTGACAGGGTTGGCAGGAGGGGGAAACGCAGAGCGCTGCTTAATGGACACAGGATTTTCTTCTCAAGTGACAAAAACATTCTGTACTTGACCGAGGTGCTGGTTGCACAATAATGCAAAGGTAGTAAATGTCCCTGGATTGTTCCCTTTAAAATAATTTTATGTCTACAAATTCCACATCAATTTTTAATTTTATTTATTTGTATTTGGCCACGTCATGTGGCATGTGGGATCTTAGTTCCCTGACCAGCGATCAAACCCGCGCCCCCTGCAGTGGAAGCATGGAGTGTTAACCACTGGATCACCAGGGAAGTCCCTCAGTTTTTAAAATTATCACTTGATTCCAGGGGTTTGGAGACCAGCTGCTCCTCACCGTGGATTTTTACTGTCGCCAGGGGAGGGACGTAAAAGAGAACAGCCAAACGGGTGTACCTCCTTTAGAAAAGATTGTAATTTATTTGATGCTAATCTCTGAAGTCTCTTGGCTTCCCATGTCACAAAGCCCTGGACGTAGCACCCGAAGAAGCCCCTTAAATTCCCTGAGCTTCTGTTTCGTGGAGGCAGCCCCACTCCACTGGCAGCTGTGGGGTTTGGGAGGGGGTAACGAAAGCAGGGTGGACTGTTGGTCCTTTTCCTCATATTCCACAGGCGATCAGGGTACAGATACAGCCGCAAGCAGAGGGAGCATCAGCTCAGACCTTTGGAGGCACCTGTCCATTTCACCCAGGTAGTCAATGGGGTGAAACCATCCAATTGGTCTTTGCTATGGATTTCCCTGGTGGTCCAGTGGTTAAGATTCTGTGCAGGGGACACGGGTTCAATCCGGTCAGAGAACTAAAATCCTACAGGCTGCACAGTGTGGCAAAAAAAACCCCCAAAAAACCACCCAAATGACAAATTGGCCTTTGCCAACAAACAAGAGGTTTTCAGGTTCAGGGACTGTCCACCCACCTCGGCGTGGGCAGATACCGCTATGGCACCCACTCCATTCCAGGTGCCCGCCCTCACAAAGGCTTCCGGGACGGATCGAACCCTCACCCTGATGACAACAGGGTACCGGATAAGAAGCTCTTTAGATGTGACAGAGAACACATTTTAACAGCCCCAGAGAGGTGGAATTATCACAGAGTGGTGTAAAAGGAGCAAAATTATTTTGGATAAACCATGAAGGAATTTTATTACCCAGTGATGTGATAAATCAACTTCTCTGTAAATGCAATAAAACAATTGTTTAGTCTGCATGATTCATACCACAAACCTTAGGATTCTGGGTTTTGATCTTATTGCCGCAATAAACTGTCTAGACAGCAATTAACAATCTGTTTTTCCTTCAGATGTTTGGAGTGCCAGCAAGGCGGGAACCGGCACTTAGAAATACAGGGGCTTCTTCCTGACTCCTATTAATTGTCGGGTTGGGGTGAGTGGGGAAAGCCCCAGATCGTCGGAAGGAGCCTCTAGACGTGCCCTCTCTCTTGAGTGGTGCAAGGTACCGCTACCTAAGGCTGGTTTCTAGTTGGCAGGAAATCTACATATTCAGTTTCGTTTTGTATTTTTTGCTTATTATTTTATTGTCACTTTAGAAAGAGGTTGTTAGAGTTAAAATTCAGCAGCACGAAAAGTCTAAGCTAGACACCTCAGATCCTTTGAGAGACAGGAGACAGACTCAATTTTAACAGTGACAATCTGTAACCTATTGAGGGTTTCCCAAGGGGCAGGTGACCCCCACACTATTTAAGTCAGCTTTCACAATTAGTCCTATCAGGGGTGCAACTGAGGGTGTCAAAACTCTGAAGGGGAAGTAAACTACTCAGGGTAGCAAGAGGCTGGGATGAAATGAGTACTGTTTGGTCCTGAGCCCTTTCCCTTCCCACTGGGTCACACTGTCCAAACGGAAGGAGAAGAAATACACTCGATTCTAAAAAATGACTAAGTTTAAAGTCCCATGAACACAGGGCTTTCACTGGTGGCTCTGTATCACATACACAGCTTTCAAATTACTGATGAATGAATGTCCCCTCTGCTGGTAGGTGGGGATGTAGGCTGGCGCGTTAATGGTGAGAGAGGAAGAACTGGAAACTCCCCAAATGTCAACCAACAGGGAAGTATTAAGGCGTGGGAAATATCCAAGCTACAGCTAGAAGAAGGTCATATTCTGCAGGACTGAAAGAGAAAGAGACAGGCTTATGGAGACTTGGGAAGCTTTACCCATATTACTAAGCGACTCCGAGCAAGTTGCAAGACGAAACCAGAAAACACAAAACTAGGCAGAGCGTTCTCTATAGATGCGTCGCTGTGGTCGCACGCCGACAACGCCTTAGAAACCTACACTCCGGACGGACGGCTGAGGCGTCTAACGGGGGAGGCGCGGAGGAGAAGTTAGGGCTGGCAGGTCCTCAAAGGGGACTTCAGGCTTATCTGGAGTATTTTAGCTGTTTTGCAAAGAGAATATGTTCATGTATTATTATTGGTGAACTTAAAAATTAATTAAAGAAAAGGAGACAGTCCACTTATAGAAGAACAGCTAGATAAATTGTAATCCAAGTGTTAGTTGCTCGGTCGTGTCTGACTCTTTGGGACCCCATGACCTGTAGCCCACCAGGCTCCTCTGTTCATGGGATTTCCCAGGCAAGAATACTGGAGTGGGTTGCCATTCCCTTCTCCAGGGCATCTTCCTGACCCAGGGATTGAACCCGGGTCTCCTACATAGGAGGCAGTTTCTTCACCATCTGAGCCACCAAGGAAACCTAAAAAAATTGTAACTCAAGCAACCCACGAATTATAATGTACCATGAAAAATAGTGAGGCAGGTCCATGGTCCTTCTGCAGAAATCCTTGCAAGACTTGCTATCAAGCAAAAAGCCTTTACATGGAATGACTGAATTCACATAAAAAGAAATTCCAGAAGGACACTAGACAAAGTTGTTATTTCTAGGGAGAGTAACGGCCTATGGGGCACTAAAGATAAATTTTGATTTATTTTTATCTTTGTATTTGAAATAATTTTATTCTAAAATAAAGCTGAATTATCTTTGTAGCTTTAATTTTGTAATGAATAGTAGAAGCAAAAAGTTAAAAAAAAAAACCAATAAGAGCTAACATGGAATTGAGTCCCCAGTGGCCAGACACTGTGATAATGTTATCCAACCACTCTACAGCATATAAAGTGGGTCACGTCTGCTTTTACAGAAGAGGAAACTGAGGCACAAAGGTGAAATCAGTAGTCTAAAAGGCCACCTGGAGTCGGAATGAGGCACCCAGGCTGCCTGATTCGGAGCCCTGATCACCCCCTGCCCCCAACGCTGCCTTCTGGCACAGTGGGGACCACGTCCTGTCCTGGCCAAGGGTGAGTGCAAATCTTAACCAGAAGAGTCTGGGGAAAGGGCTTCACATTCACAGTCATTCAGTTCAGCTACTCACTGGAGCCGCAGGATTTCGAGGTTGAGAGAGCCCAGGCGAGCTCTGTGGTCAAAACTGGGACAACCAGCTGCAGAATCAGTTTCTTCCTAGACTCTCAGACCACTGCTCCATCCATGGGTTTTCTAAACCTTTTATGGTCAAAGGCCCCCAGATTTATAAGTTGGAACCTTCTTAAACAGCTACGCTAATTTTCTGTTGTTGTTCCCATCTCCACGTGGTTTGCAAAGCAGTGGGGGGAAGGCGTTCCGGTTTGCTGCTGAAGACACCCGTTTGTCCTTGTTGAGTTTCCGCACGTCGTTTAAGAGGAGCCTGGGCTCTGAGCCGTGCCGAGCCGCTCAGCCGTGTCCGACTCTTTGAGACGCCGCGGACTCCTCCGTCCGTGAAGATGCTCTACTGCAGAAGGCTGCCATGCCCTCCTCCGGGGATCTGCCCAACCCAGGGATCAAACCCAGGTCCCCCGCGTTGCGGGCGGGTTCTTTACTGCCTGAGCCACCAGGGGAGCCCACGAATACTGGAGTGGGTAGCCTATTCCTTCTCCAGGGGAAACTTACCGACCCAGCAATTGATGGGATCTCCTGCATTGTAGGCAGATTCTTTGCCAGCTGAGCTACCCAGCAAGCCCTTAAGGGAAGTCTGAATGCAGACACATCATTCATTTATCCATCTATGTATTCAACATCAGGATATAACGGTTCAGGATGCTCACTCAGGAGTCAGGCAGAATTATGTCATTTTGGGTTTGCGACAGCTCTCTTGAGGCTTATTTTCATATATTGAAAATGGTGGAGAAGATGAAATTAATCTGTATAAATTTCTTGGCACATAATAAGGGCTTAAAAATTGTTCACTACTATTATCTATCATCCATCCATCTATTCATTCGCTCAGTCACCATCTATCTATCCATCCTTCTCCCTCCCTCCTTCCTTCCTTCCTCATTCCCTTCTTTTCTTCTTTCTGTGTTTCCACTCATTCCAAACTTCCTCCTTTCCCTTTCTTCCTACCTTCCTTCCTTTCCTCCTTCCTTCCATATACTTATCTCCCCATCCATCCATCCATCCACCCATCATCCACTCCTTCATGCCTCCCTTGCCTGGTGCTCTATGCCAGATCGTGGAGATTACAAAAACAAAGAAGACATAACCCCTGACTCCGTGGAGATCCCAGTTTAGATGAAAAGACACAATTAGGCCTCTGGCTGTAGGGAGTATTTGATCCTGAAGGGAACAGAGAAAGAAAACCTGGGAAACTGTTTAACTTCCGTCCCAGCTCTGGGGGTTGTTTAGGAAGATATGTGATACCCACTCGTCTCCCGAGACTCCTGACGGCTCAGAGTGCAGGGGATGAACAGGGCTTGATCAACACAGTTGGTAAGAGTGCGGCGCTGCGGCTTCTGCAAAAGGCCCTCGCCACACAAACAAACAGCGTAATTTGGGTTCAAGGGTGACAGGCTATCACATTCTTCAAAAGTAAAAGGCTCCTCTGGGTTTCTTCCATATCTTTCCCCTGCTTCCTTCCACAAACTCCCTCCCCTCCATTCTGCACCAGACACCATACACATTGAGGAGATACCACCCAGGCCACGCTGGGGACTGTTGCCTTATTTATAGAGAAAACAGAACTCCTTAGATTAACAAGATCTGTAAAGAAGAGCTCTCCTAAAAAGGATTCCAGGTTTCTTTTCTGAGGGCTGAAGAGCAGGGCTGGAGGCTACAGTGAGTCTCCAGAGAAACTGACTCTTAAATTTCCCTCCTGGTGACGATTTGATGATGGCAAGGAAGCATTTCAAGGGCCTCTCCATGGCTCAGTGGTAAAGAATCTGCCTGCCAATTCGGGAGACGCAGGAGACGCAGGTTCAATCCCTGGCCCCAGAAGATCCCCTGGAGAAGGAAATGGCAACCCACTGGAGTATTCCTGTCTGGAAAATTCCAAGGACAGAGGAGCCTGGCGGGCTACAGTTCATGGGATCACAAAGAGTTGGACACGACTGAGTGATTGGGCACAAAGGCTTTCTGTAACTCTTTCCTGCTTTAAACTTTTTTCATTAGCATTGATCCTTATAAAAGTTGCCATGTATTTTACTAGGAAGTAAAATTTTAATCTACTTATCTTTCTAAACAGAACGTAAGCATCACGAGGGCCAAAGTTTTTCTGTACTAGTCACCATCCCCCGTGTTAGAAACATTATAGTGCTCAGTAAGTATTTGCTTGATAGATAAATTCTGATTGTGCAGATGAGAAAACTGATGTTCACAGAGGTTAAAAAGTTTGCCCAAAGTCACACAGTGGATTTGAATCCAGGCAGCCAGACTTCAGAATCCAGCACCTGCCTTTTATACTGCCCCTCTGTGCTAATGCTTGGGTTCATGTACCTGAAAACTCCAGGTATGAAGACTCGGCGCATGAAAGTTCCTCAAAAGTTAAACCAAACTTTAAGCCAAACTTAGCACACGATCTAGCAATTTGACCTCCAGGTATTTATCCAAACCAATTAAAACCAGGATCTTGAAGAGATCTGCATTCCTATGTTCATTGCAGGATTATTCACAATAATCAAGGTGCAAGGACTTCCCTGATGGCCTGGTGGTTAAGATTCCATGCTTCCACTACAGTGGGGGGTAGGTTTGATTCCTGGTCTGAGAACTAAGATCCTGTATGCAGTGGTGTGGTGAAGAAACTAACCAACCAAAGAAACAAACAGGATGTGGAAGCAACCCAAATGTCCATCAAGGGAGGAACGACTACAGAGAAGGTGATAACCACGTACAAGGGAATATTATTCAGCCTTGAAAAGGAAGGAAAGCCTGGCATAAAACATCCGATGGGGGGATAAAAAATATCCCATGAATGAACCGTGAGGACATAATGCTAAGTGACATAAAGCCAGTCACAGAAGGACAAACACTGCAAGGTCTCACATCCAGAGCAGTCAGTCATAGAAGCAGGAAGTGGAGTGCGGCTGCCCGAGGCCGAGGAGAGGGGCTGGATGGGGAGCCGCTGGTCAATGGGCGCAAGGCTTCAGTTACACAAGATGAGAGCCTAGAGATCTGCTCGACAACGTTGCGTGGTTCCCATCAGAGGACTTCGGAATCACTCAGGATACTTCTGGAAATCCTCATGCCTGAGCCTCACCCCAGACATATTACATCAGAATCCCTGGGGTGGGGCCTAGGCGTCAATATTTTTGAAGCTCCCCAGTTGATTTCAGACGTGCAGCCAAAGTTGACACCCACTGCCTAGTGAACTTAGCTGTCCCTATGGCCTTAGACGCTTCTATGACCTCAGAAGCCCCTTAAAAGGGGTGCCCCCGATGGCTCCGAGGGTAAAGGATCTGCCTGCAAAGCAAGAAACATAGGAGACCTGAGTTCGATCCCTGGGTCAGGAAGCTCCCCTGGAGAAGGAAATGGCAACCACTCCAGTATGCGTGACTGAACAATCCCATGGACTGAGGAGCCTGGCAGGTTACAGCCCATGGGGTCGAAAAGAGTCAGACACGCCTGAGCGATTAAGCTCTCGTGTGCACCTGCACACACACACACACACACACACACACACGGGTTTAAACAGGCAGATGAATCCAGTTGTAACCATTTCAAGCTCCAAGTTGACTCTCTTTATCCTCAAACATCAGCACTGAACGCATAATGGACGCCTCATCTCGCAAGAGTCAAGTGACCTGTTCCCTCCAGACCTGCTCCTCCCCAGTAGTCTCCACTGCAGTGACTGACATCACCAGTCACCCCTTGTTTCAGGGTAAAAGCTGGACATCTTTCTCTATTCTTTGTCTTGCAACTCCTCTCCAATCTGCTAAGGATTCCTGCTGGCTGTATCTCAAAATATATCCCCATCCTGGGACTTCCCTGGTGGCTAGTGGCTAGGATTCTGGGCTTTCACTATCTGGCCTGGGTTCAGTCTCTGGTCTGAGAACAGAGATCCCACAGGCTTCGAGGTAAAATATATACTTTACTGAGTGTGTGTGTGTTGGTCGCTCTGTCGTGTCCGACTCTTTACGACCCCACGGAATGTAGCCCACCAGGCTTCTCTGTCCATGGGATTTCCCAGGCAAGAAACCCGGAGGGGGTTGCCATTCCTTCTCCAGGGGCTCTCCCCGACCCACAGACTGAACCCACATCTTCTGCGTCGCAGGCGGATTCCTTACCTTCTGAACCACTAGGGAAGCCCATATATGTGTATCTCCCCATTCTAATCCCTCCTCACCACTTCTGCAGCTAGCCTTCTAAGAGACCCCTTCTAAGATCCACTTCTAAGTGGATCCACTTCCTCTTCTGAACCTTTCCAGTCTGGTCTCTCCCAGCAGTCAGAGTGAAATCTATTAAAAACGAAACTCAGTATGAAAAAATGCTCAGCATCATTTAGCCACTGGAGAAATGCAAATTAAACCACAATGAGCTATCAGTACAGACCCATGAGAATGGATAAAGTAAAAAGACAGACCACAAGGAATGCGTTTGAGTCAGTGTTAATGAGGTGGAAGAACCTGGAGTCTATTATACAGAGTGAAGTATGTCAGAAAGAGAAAAACACATGTCGTGTATTAAGGCATATGTATGGCCACCTCATGCGAAGAGCTGACTCACTGGAAAAGACCCTGATGCTGGGAGGGATTGGGGGCAGGAGGAGAAGGGGATGACAGAGGATGAGACGGCTGGATGGCATCACCGACTTGATGGGCATGAGTTTGAGTAAATTCCGGGAGTTGGTGATGGACAGGGAGGTCTGATGTGCTGGGATTCACGGGGTCGCAAAGAGTCGGACACGACTGAGCGACTGCACTGAACCGCACTGAACTGATGGACTCTAGAAAGACGGTTCCGATGAACCTGGTGGCAGCGCAGCAGTGGAGATGCAGGCGTAGAGCGCAGACTTCCGGCCCCAGGTGGGGACGGGACAAGGGGAGAGAGCGGCCGGGAAACACATGCACCTCCACGTGTGACGCAGACAGCCGGCGCTGTGTGGCTCGGGGAGGCCAGACTGGGGCTCTGCCACAACCTGGAGGCGTGGGATGGGGGACACGGAGGCCCAAGAGGGCGGGGACACATGTATACCTGCGGCTGATTCATGTATGGAAGAGACCAACACAGCACTGCAAAGCCATTATCCTTCAATTAAAAATAAATAAGTTAAAAAAAGAGGGATCACACCCAGTACTGGATTGTATGTGTAGCATCTGCAAACCTCACAGATCGCTGGTGGGATAAATACTGTGCAGAACTGTTTGGAAGTTCTCTAACCAGCAATTTCATTCCTAGGTAATGAAAACCTATGTCTACACAAACACTGTATAAGAATGTTCATAATAGCCTTATTCTCAATAGATCTAAAATGGAAACAGCCCAAAAGTCCATCTCCAGGAGAATGGATAAACAAACTCTGGTATATTCGTCTAATTGAATACCACCAGGGAAGTCCAGAATGTGTTTTAAATGCTCCAAATGTGTGGGGTTTCTGTAGTCATCATTTTGTTATTGATTTCTAACATTTTAGTCAGAGGACATGGAATGAAAGATAAAGTTGAAACTGGGTGAAGTGTGCTTTATTTTTGTAGTGAAGAACACAAAATGATATCATTTCTTTCTGTAAGTATGGTTACTGTTTAGACGCTAAGTCGTGTCTAACCCTTTAGCGAACCCATGGACTGTAGACCACTGGGCTCCTCTGTCCATGGGATTTTCCAGACAAGAATACTGGAGTGGGTTGCCATGCGCTCCTCCAGGGGATCTTCCTGACACAGGGATGGAACCCTTGTCTCCTGCATTGGCAGGGAGATTGTTTACCACTAGTGCCACCTGGGAAACCCTTCATAATTATTTAGGTAAAATTATAAAAACATCCAGGAAAGAGAGAAACTCCAACTTCAGGGTAAGGTTTTCCCTTGAGGGAAGGACAGAGGGAAATGAGCTCATGAAAGGTGGGTGGGAGGATAACTCTACCTGTTATGATTTTAAAATTGTACGGAAATTGATTCATTAGAAAAGATCCTGATGCTGGGAAAGACCGAAGGCAGGAGAAGGGGACAACAGAGGACGAGATGGTTGGATGGCATCACTGACTCCATGGATATGAGCTTTAGCAAGCTCTGGGAGATGGTGAAGGACAGGGAAGCCTCGTGTGCTGCAGTCCATGGGGTTGCAAAGAGTTGGACATGACTGAGCAGCTGAACAAAATAGAAATTGTATGAAAAGATACTTGAAACTAATTTGATAGAGATCCACAATATTCCCAGTGGAAAGTGGGGCAGCCCCTGTAATCAAACACAGTGCTATATTGGCAACGAAATGTCTGTATTCCAAATGAGGTAAAATGTTAGGATAATAGATAGCCTCACATCAGTTGTTGGTTTTCAGGGCTTTCTATATTCTGTGAGTGCAGGTAAAGAGTCATGGACTTGTAGGTATTAGTGTTGATTAAATAGGGATGGAGTAACAGGTCTATCTGTTATATTATTTATTTGCATTTCCCTGAACATTTGAAATAGTCCCAAATATGCAATTATTAAAATGTTTGTTAAAAAGATTAGAAGGGCTCTTCTCAAGTGGCTTTCCTCCAGCTTTTTTGTTATTGTTGTTCAGCTGCTAAGTCGTGCCCATCTCTTTGCAACCCCATGGACTGCAGCACGCCAGGCTCCTCTGTCCTCCACTCTCTCCCAGAGTTTGGTCAAATTCACGTCTGTTGAGTCAGTGATGCTATCTAATCTGTCCTCTGCTTTCTCTCCTCCTTCTGCCTTCAATCCTTCCAAGCATCAGGGGCTTTTCCAATGAGTTGGCTCTTTGTATTAGGTGGCCAAAGTATTGGGGCTTCAGCTTCAGCATCAGTTCTTCCAATAAATATTCAGAATGGATTTTCTTTAGTATTGATTGGTTTGATCTCCTTGGTGTCCAAGGGACTCTTAAAAGTCTTCTCCAGTGGCACAGTTTGAAAACATCAATTCTTCAGTGCTCAGCCTTCCATCCCTGGTCAGGGAACTAGATCCCACATGCTACAACTAAGACCCAGTGTAGCCAAGAAAATAAATAAAAAGAGGGTAACAGTGCTGTTGAGGGCATGGACTTAAGGGCTATCAAGAACACTTACATGTTGGTGAGCGGGAGAGTCACTGTTTTAAGGGAATATCAATTTCTTAGGGCTGCCTTGACAACCACAAATTCGGTGGTTTAAAACCGAGATGATTTTCTCACAGTTCTGGAGGCAAGACGTCTGCAATCATTGTGTCACTGGGGCCAGGCTCCCTCTGAAGGCTCTAGAGCTTCTGGTGACTCCTGGAAGCCTTGGCTGTTCGGAAGCTTGTAGCTGCATCAGGCTGATCTCTGCCTCTGTCTTCACACAGCAGCTTCCTTGAGTCTCTGCTCCTGTCTCCTTTCTTCTTCTTATAAGGGTACCAAATCTAGGTTAAGGGCCCAAGCTACTTTATTGCGTGTGTGTGTGTGTGTGTGCGCGCGCTCGCGCACATGCGCTCACTTGCCCAGTCGTGTCCGACTCTTTGTGACCCCATGGACTGTAGCCCGCCAGGCTCCTCTGTCCATGGGATCTCCCAGGCAGGAATACGGGCGTGGGTTGCCATTTCCTTCTCCACAGCACCTTCCTGACCCACGTCTCCTGCATCGGCAGCTGGATTCTTCACCACCGAGCCACCTGGGAAGCCCCACTTTTAGCATGACCTCATCTCACTTGATTACATCTTCCACGACTCATGGAAATAACCAAGCAAGGTCGACTTCTGAGGTTCTGGGAAGGAACCAAATTTTAGGAGCACCATGTTCAGTTGGTGGGTCCCATTTCCGCCAGCAGCCGCTCTCCCGGGTGCACATCCAGGAGGACTATTCCCACAGGGACACAGCGTGGCCGGCGTCAAGCATCATTGTGGCCCTGTGCTCCAAACGATGAACTGGGGACCAGTGGCTCTCCGTTATGGATAGATAGAGCCAAACCGCGCTTCACTCCGCTCAGAAGATCGATGAAGCAGGCGAAGAGAATGAGGGATATTCCAAGCACTAACAGTGGCAGTGTTTTCAAGTGAGAAGGGGAAGTTAGGGGAAAATATGTACAGTCTGGTCCAGTCTACACATTTTTGAACACACAAAAATAAAGAAAAATATTTTTATATGGTGTCAGTGTACAGGAAAATCTGTACGGCTACACACTACGGTACTGACTCTCTTTCAGAAGAGAGTGAGAAAAAGAAGAGAGCGAAAAAGGAGGGCTGTGACACCAGCTTCCTGGGTTGTTTTTTGTATAGTTTTGACATTTTTTAATATTTATGTTTGCAACAGAAATGTTTTCATTTGCTTATTAAAATTAAAATAAAAACTAAGCAACATGTAGATCAGCATGTGTCATTGACCCAAGTTTTGAAAAAATATAGAAATTATTTTTCATAAACACACATACTTTTAAAAATACATAGAGAAAATAGCCTGGCATAATTCACCCAGAGTGATGATGAGAAGAGGGCCTCTGAACTGAGGGGTGGTGGCATGAGGGACATGAAGAAAGTAGAGGTGGTATAAGTTTGGTTCACTTTTCATTTTATAGACTTTTTAAATTGTTTGGGTATTTTCTTCAATCTTTAATATAAGATGCATTCATTCTGCAATTCAACATTTTAGTAGCATTCTAGCAAACATTTTTCTGGGGTTTAATTCATTCTAAGTGTCCAGATTTTCTGTTGACCATCACAGGGATGAAAAGCAAAGCGCCAGTGACCTGCTTCCTGCCTAACCCCGACCTGGGGTGTAACACTGACATGACCAGCAGATATAACAGTACAAAAGCATAGGACCATTGCTCTCGTAGAGTTGTTGAAATCCCCTCCATACTTTTAGGATCTGAAAAGGAAATGATAAGCACAGCCTTTGAGATGATATTTGTTTTTGGAAGTTTATCCCCTGAAAATTGCCTTGCCCAATATGGTAAAGCACCAGCTACATATGGCTCTTTAAGAGTAAATTAATTAAGGTAAATAATGTTAAGAATTTAGTTTCTCAGTCACATGAGTACCATTTCCAAGGCCCAAGAATTACTTTGGTTAGTGGCTGCCATGTTGCATGGTGTTTCCATCGATGTGGGAGGTTCTATTGGACAGTACCGCTTAAAAGCAGAATGATACATAAACATTTTTGTTTACCACACTTGACAGGATTTCCACTGTGGAAAGGCATCCTTGTGTCTTAATTACTCAGAGACATCCAAGGGAAGGTGGTTTGGCGGATAACTTCCCCTGAAGCCCCCACTTCTGAGAGCAGGTCACGTGTGATTCTGGGCTGTTTGTCCCATGGACCTGCCACCCTCGTCCCCCCTGCATCCTTCCGCTCATTTAAAACATCCCAGTGGAGCCTATGAAGTATTCCCATGCTCTGGCCAAACTGGTTTACAAAACCACGATTTGAGGAGTCCAGTCTTGCAGGAGGCCGGCCCCTGCCTTTGTGTGGCCGTAACAAGGTTATTTATGGAGGAGGGAGAAGACTCTCTGAGAAGATGAAAGGTTTGATGGCAAAGGAAAGCAGAAGCTCGGAGGAGCAGGTTTCTCCTATAGCAAAGACTCTCCAGATAAGATAAATCACTCGGGACCATTAAACCTTCAAGAAGAGTGCTCGTAAACCTCTCCTTGAAACTCACAAAGCATGTTCCCTTTCGGAGGAGCCCACGTGGTGAGGGGCTCACCGCCTTTCCCAAAGTGCCCACTAGTCCCCGTTTTACCTTTCTGGGCCCTCGGTCCAGGACCCTGGACCAGAAAACCACTTTTGAAGTCATTTCTCAGGGTGGTCAACTGTCCCTAGCTTGCCAGGTACTGCAGAACTCCGGGGACTACATTTGGGAAAGTCACAGGCAGACCCAGGTGGCTTGGTCATCCTACTTTCTCTGTACCTTGACGACAAGCCTGGGACTCAGTTCAGCAACAAAATTTTTTTGTTTCTTATTGAGCTACCATTTACTGGGTTCTACTGTGGATCAGGCAATGAGGGCTCTTTATTTGCTTTTTCTCCTTTAATCCTCATAACCAGTTGGGGGTGGTAGTATTATTATTCTCAAGTGACAGGTGAAGAAGCTGAGGCTCAGAAAGTGGAAGTGACTTGCCCAAGGTCACACTGAAACAGTGTCCATGCCTCCACAGCTCATGCTCTGAAGTGATCTATTTACCTTCCCTTCTTTTTCTTACTTGGCCTCCCGCACAAATGGAGAGGGCTTCCCTGGTGGCCCATAGAAAAGAATCTGCCTGCAATGCAGAAGCAGCCGCAGGAGACATGGGTTCGATCCCTGGGTTGGGAAGATCCCCTGGAGGAGGAAATGGCAACCCACTCCAGTATTCTTGCCTGGAGAGTCCCAAGGATGGAGGAATCTGGCGGGCTACAGTCCACGGGATCACAAAGAGTCAGACACGATTGAAGCGACTCAGCACGCATGTATGCACAAATGGGGATCTCTGGGCTTTCTAGAAACTTTCTACCAACAAGGATCTGGAAGCAAGCTCACCACCCTCATGAACCAGGAGGGGAGGAGCAGGCCCCGAGAGGGTCAGACTTGTGGCTGAACTGCATCTGCGTGTTCAAAAGCCAAGTCTAATTCTCTGTAACTGTCTGGACCTTTTCATCGGGAAAGGCCAAGTTCCAAAGATGGTCAGTAAATCATTCGCAGATGGGCCCTGGCCGTGGCTGGGTGGACCCCATCCTGCTCGCCTTACCACTGGGGCGCCCTCGAGACAGCAGGAGCAGAGGATTCCCGCCACATTCTGCAGGTATCGGAGCCCAGAGCACCTGCAAATAACGGGAAAGTCTGAGGCTAACGAGGTGCCAGGCTGGGCTTGATTTCATTCCTCTCCCATGCCTCTGCTATCTGTGAAACAGATAAGGTTGTTCTTCCAGCTCAGGGCTGAGGAAACTGAAGCGATGTTGTGCCCAGGGGACACGTGGCAATGTCTGGAGACACGTGTGGTTGTCACAACCTTGCGGGGAGGGGAGTGGGGGGGCGCACTACCGATATCTGGTGGGTAGAGATCAGGGACATTCTAAATGTTCGGCAATGCACAAGACATCCCCCTTCTCCCCAGTTAAGGATTATCCACTGCGGGGCCCCTCGGTGGTCCAGTGATTAAGAATTCACCTGTCAATGCAGGGGACATGGGTGCGATCCCTGGTGGGGGAAGATCCCATGTGCCACAGAGCAGCCAAGCCCGTGTGTCACAACTACTGAAGCCCACACACCCTAGAGCTCCGCGCTCTGCAGCAAGAGGAGGCCCCGCAATGAGGAACCCGTGCCCCGGAACCAGAGAGGTGCCCCGGAACCAGAGAGGAGCCCCCGCGATGAGGAGCCCGTGCCCCAGAACTAGAGAGGAGCCCCTGTGATGAGGAGCCCGTGCCTGAGAACCAGAGAGGAGCCCCCGTGATGAGGAGCCTGTGCCCCAGAACTAGAGAGGAGCCCCTGTGATGAGGAGCCCATGCTCCAGAACCAGAGAGGAGCACCCATGATGAGGAGCCCATGCCTGAGAACCGGAGAGGAGCCCCCATGATGAGGAGCCCATGCCCCAGAACCAGAGAGGAGCACCCGTGATGAGGAGCCTGTGCTCCAGAACCAGAGAGGAGCCCCCACAATGAGGAGCCCATGCCCCAGAACCAGAGAGGAGCACCCACGATGAGGAGCCCATGCCTGAGAACCGGAGAGGAGCACCCGTGATGAGGAGCCCCCGTGATGAGGAGCCCGTGCCCCGGAACCAGAGAGGAGCACCCGTGATGAGGAGCCCGTGCCCCAGAACCAGAGAGGAGCCCCCACAATGAGGAGCCCGTGCCCCGGAACCAGAGAGGAGCACCCGTGATGAGGAGCCTGTGCTCCAGAACCAGAGAGGAGCCCCCACAATGAGGAGCCCATGCCCCAGAACCAGAGAGGAGCCCCCGTGATGAGGAGCCCATGCTCCAGAACCAGAGAGGAGCACCCACAATGAGGAGCCCATGCCTGAGAACCGGAGAGGAGCACCCGTGATGAGGAGCCCCCGTGATGAGGAGCCCGTGCCCCGGAACCAGAGAGGAGCACCCGTGATGAGGAGCCCGTGCCCCAGAACCAGAGAGGAGCCCCCACAATGAGGAGCCCGTGCCCCGGAACCAGAGAGGAGCACCCGTGATGAGGAGCCTGTGCTCCAGAACCAGAGAGGAGCCCCCACGATGAGGAGCCCATGCCTGAGAACTAGAGAGGAGCCCCTGTGATGAGGAGCCCGTGCCCCGGAACCAGAGAGGAGCACCCGTGATGAGGAGCCTGTGCTCCAGAACCAGAGAGGAGCCCCCACAATGAGGAGCCCGTGCCCCGGAACCAGAGAGGAGCCCCTGCTCACCCCGACTAGAGAGAGCCCGCCCAGCAACAAAGACCCAGCACAGCCAGAAAAAGAAAACATGAACTAAGACAAGGTCCCTGGTTCCTGAGGGGCCCTCCTGCCCCAGAGCTTGCGGGGTCCACCTGGATCCCGGGCCTCACCAGGGGCGCGGGAGCTGTCAGCTCCTTCTTGGCCTCACCTTCTACCTCGGGGAACAATCAAAGGCCAGCTCAGGAGGGGCAGACTTTGTGCTTGTGTGATGCTGGAACAGGGCTAGGCACAAAAAAGGGTGCCCAGGAAATACCTGTTGCGTGATGAACGGATGGATACGAAGTGCTGTTCATGGAGGGCTTTCTGCCTGCCAGGCTTCACGCCCAGCAGGCTGCCAGCACCATCTCGTTCCTTCCCTCCCAGAACCGGTCTCAGAGGCAGGCACTGCGGGCTCCAGGCTTAGGTTACGGAGCCGGGACCGGGGCGCAGGGAGCAGTGCTCCCAGGCCAGGGTCACCCAGCTGGACGGCAGCGCAGTCCATCTCCAGCTCTGCAAACAAGAACAGCCTCGGGGCTTAGTCCCTGTTCTCAGTGTCCTGGGATTTATGCATGCATCACTCCTTGCAGCACTGAGCTGTTTTGTTGTTTTTTTTAAATTAGTTTTGGCCCTAAGAGGTGCCACAGACCATATAATAAGTAGAAGAACTCTGGGGACAGCTGAAGAAAAGGCCCCATTGCAAAGCCCTGCTGTGATCAGAAAGAAAAAGTTGGAGATGATCCCTCACAGTGGGAGACGAAGCCTTAAGGGCTTTGTGGCCCCGCTGGCCTTGCCGTTCTCGGGAGACTGAAGGCGCCGGGGCCCAAGAGTGAGACGCTTTCCCACCCCGGGCCCAGCCTTGGCTTCCCGGATTCCTGTCAACACGGGCGTTTTAACGAGTCTCCCCGAGATGTGAGCTTGCCATTGTACCTCCACTTTATGACATCTTGTTATATTTCAGAGGAGAGGATTCTGAATAAAAATGAGCCAGGCTTTTAGGGCTCCTTTTTATTATTAGCATTTGGTAAAAAAGCAACCTTAATGAGGTGTTAAGAGTCATCCTGTAGCCTATTGTGCAAGAGGCCTGGGAGCATAAACTCCTGCAAAGCCACAGGGCGATTTATGACCCTTAATACCACCCCTTCCTGGCGGAGCTTCCGAGGGCGCATCTTTAGTTCTGGGGCGCTTCCGACAATTCACACGCCCAAGCTGCTTCAGCAGTGAGCTGAATTAAACCTGATTAAACGTTGGCAAGGATTCTTCGCCAGGCTGCTCACTGAGGAGGAAGTCGGCCGGGTCCACCGGCATGGAGGCAATTTTCCATTGGGTTTGGACAGAAGGCTCCGAGGACCTGACTGCTCCTGTTTCTCTGCTCACTGGTGAGGAATGGGACAGCGATGCTTGGAAAGGCAGCAGAAGCAAGGAGAGCTTTTGCTCCTCAACAGGGAGAGGAGTGCCTTTGCAAATAAATACAGTGGAATTGCACTAACCAGTCAATGTTCTTCCTGAAATAGGCTTCATTTAAGGCTGAGGGTTTTTATTCCCCGCCCCCCTAACCCAAAAGGTATGCTACCTGTCAGTGATGAAACACAAGTCAACCTCTGGGATGCACACAGATACCCAGATACCGCAGGTTTAACCTTGGAGTCTATAGTTTGTGCAAAAAAGGAAACGATTTAACCCTTTATATCCTTCTCATTTGAATATATATATGTGTATATATATTAAAGAAAAACATGTATTCCACCATGTATATTGACCCTTCCTAACTTTATGCAGTTAAAACTGAGAATTGGTCAATAACATTGTATTAAATTCTTCAAAAGTACGAAGAGGGACTCCCCTGGCAGCCCAGTGGTTAAGACTCCACACTTCCAGTGTGAGGGGTGCAGGTTCAACCCCCTAGCCGAGGAATTAAGATCCCACATGCTGCACAGAACCAAAGAACAAAACGAAAAACCGAAAAAAAGTGCCGAGATACTAGATCTGAGACGTTTCTCACCGCACACAAAAAAGATAAGTATGTGATGTGACAGAGAGATTCGCTCAGGCTGTGATGGTAATCACATTACAGTATATAAATGCATCAGATCAGCACGTTGTACACCTTAAACTTATACAGTGCTAGATGTCAGTGCTAGATAGCTCAATTAAAAAATCTCATAATTGAATTTTTTTCATAGCTATTAAATTGTAATATCAGCATTTCACACAGTCTCTATTGGATTTTCATAGCTCCTTTTGATGAACTACAATTAATATTTAACTTGGAAACATATGTCTACATCTCACTTGAGTGGAATATAAAGTGTGTGATTTATTTTGTCATGCAGGATTGTATGGTGTTGCCAGAGCCTGACGGAACACCCCGTGGACTGTAGCCCACCAGACTCCCCTGTCCAGGGAATTCTCCAGGCAAGAATACTGGTGTGTGGGTAGCCATGCCCTTCCCTAGGGGATCTTCCCCACGCAGGGAGTGAATGCAGGTCTCCTGCCTGGGCACCATCTGAGCCACCAGGGAAGCCCAGTTAATTCATACGTGAAGTCGATATATTTGCTCCCTTGATCCTCTAGGAAAATAATATCCCTACGGCAGTATTACAGGAGGAAAAACCCTACAACATTGGGCGCTGGAAGGCCACAGTGAAAATCTCGAAGTGACACTTAGCAATGCTATGGTCCTGGGACCGTCCCATCACTCACTGCCACTGAACCGGAATTGTCTTCTCTTGGCTGCCTCATTCAGTTTGCAGGATCTCAATGCTCAGACCAGGGGCTGAACCCACGCCCGCAGCCTGAAAGCATGGAATCCTAACCGCTGGACGACCAGGGAACTCCCCCTCCCAAACATTTTAATTAGTAAAGTGAAAGCAATAATAACTATGTCCACAGTTGTTAGCTTACTAATCTCTATTTTCACTGCGGTTTACGCTTAGGTGATGGGACTTTGCTGGTGGTTCACACAGTAAAGAATCTGCCTGCAATGCAGGAAACTGGGGTTCAACCCTGGGTCGGGAAGATCCCCTGGAGAAGGGCATGGCTACCCACTCCAGTGTTCTTGCCTGGAGAACCCCATGGACAGAGGAGCCTGGTGGGCTACAGTCCACGGAGTTGCAAGGAGTCCGACACGACGGAGGCCTGGTTCAGGAGGCGTGGCCAAGGCGTCACAGGCTTTTGAGCAGAAAAAGGCACTGCGAATTACCTAATTAGAGAACCCAGTTTCAGAATGATGAGTCTGAGCGCCCACCTTAGGTGACAAAGTAGGAAAGAGATTTCAGAAGAGAAAGATCCCCAGCGGTCCCGCGTCTCACCGTGGTGCTGTGGTTAAATACTCAGACTTGGGGTCCAGAAGCCTGGGGTCAATTCTGAGCGCCATTACTCGCTAGCTGTGTGACCCTGGGGAAGGGACACAGATTCTCCTTGGGTTCTGCACCTACAAAATGGGCTGGATGAGAATAATCACAGAAGGACTAAAACATGTAAAATGCTCAAGATAGCGTCTACTACATGGTGACTGACACACAGATAAAATCATTATTCTAGCCACCACTAATGAAATCACACCATTCCTGGTTGATGAGTTGAGCATACAAAGAAATCCATTATCAACTCCGTCTCTTGGTTAACAGCTAAGGACGGATTAGCTGGTACAAGATATCTTTGTAAACCACTAGTCTGATCGTTTTACTGCTTGATTAACTCTTTGCCATAAAATATTTGCAGATCGTATATCTGGTAAGGGACAAATATGTGGAATATGTAAAGAATTCTTGCAACTTAACAATTTTATTGTTTTTAAGACAAATAACCCAATGAAAAATGGGCAAAAAGATGCAATATACATTTCTCCAAAGAAGATATGTAAATGGCCAATAAGCTTATAAAAAGATACTGAGCATCATTAGTCATCAGGGAAGTACAAGCCAAAATTACAATGAGATACTATTTCACACCCTCTAGGGTAGCCACAACTTAAAAAATGGACAGTGAAAGTGTTGACAAGGATACAGAGGAACTGGAACACTCATACGCTGCTGGTAGGAATGTAAATGTTGCTGACACTTTGGAAAGCTGTTCAGAAGTTCCTCAAAATATTAGACACAGAATTTCCATTGATCTAGAAATTCTCCTTTTAGGCATCTAGTCGAGAGATTTGAAAACATGTGCTTATACAAAAACTTGTACACAAATATTTACAGCAGCACTATTCATAATAGCCAAAAAGTGGAAAAATCCAAATATCTACTTATTGATAAATAAAGTATGGTATAGCCATGTGATGGAATATTATTCAGTCATAAAAAGGAAATATAAATGAAATGGAATAGAGAGTTCAGAAATAAAACCATGCACATAGCCAAATGATCTTCAAAAATAGTGCCAAGATAACACCATGAGGAAAGGACTGTCTTCAACAAATGATGCCAGGGAAACTGTATATCCACACACAAAAGAATCAAGATAAACCCTTATCTTACTCCATATACAACAGTTAACTCAAAAGAGAATAAAAATATAAACATAAGGCCTGAAACTATAAAACTCCCAGAAGAAATCATAGCGGGAAAGCTTCATGACATTGGAATGGGCAACAATTTATTGGATATGACACCAAAAACACAGATAACAAAGCAAAACATAGATAAACGGGACTACATCAAGCTTAAAAACTTCTGCACAGCAAAGGAGACCATCAACAGAATGCAGAGGCAACCGGCAAAATATTTGCAAACCATATATTGGAAAAGGGTTAATATCCAGAATATATAAAGAACCCTGCAACTGAATAATAACACCAACTGTTAAAAAATGGGCAAAGGACTTGAATAGACATTCCTCCAAAGAAGATACACAAATGGTCAACAAGTGCATGAAAAGCTGCTGAACAATCATCAAGAAAATGCACATCAAAACCACAAGAAGGGACCCCGCTGGTGGTCCAGGGGCTAAGACTGCAGCACAGGTAGCCCAGGTTCTACCCTGATCAGGGCGCTGGATCCCACACGTGCAGCTGAAATGAATAAATATTAAAACAAACATAAAAGTACAAGGAGATACACTTCACACTCATTAGGATGGATACCATATTAAAAAAATAACAAGTGTGGGCAAGAATGTGGAGAAATTGAAACCCTCACACACTATTGGTGTGATTGTAAGATGGTGCCACCATGGAAAACAGTATAGAAAGAAAGAAAGAAAGACAGTGCTAAGTCATATCTGACTTTTTATGACCCCATGGACTGTAGCCTGCCAGGCTCCTCTGTCCAGGCAAGAACACTGGAGTGGACTGGCATTTTCTTCTCCAGGGGATCTTCCCAACCCAGGAATTGGACCCAGGTCTACAGCATTGCAGGCAGATTCTTCACCGACTGAGCTATGTGGGAAGCCCATATAGAGGTTCCTCAAAAAATTAAAAATAGAACTACCATATGACCCAGTTATCCCACTTCTGGGTGTATCCTGAAGAACTGAAAACAGGATCTAAAACAGACACTTGTACAACCATGTGCATTGTCATAATATTCACAATAGCTAGGCCGTGAAGTCAGCCTAAATGTCCACCAACAGACGAATGGATGAGTAAAATGTGGCATACATATATAATACAGAAGAATATTATTTAGCCTTAAAAAAGGAAAATCTTGTCATATGCTACAATGTGGATGAATCTAGAGAACATCATACCAAGTGAAAT